TTTTTCTCATCTTAAAAACCATGCCCTTTTTCTTGATGGTTTACTAAGTCCTTAAGGATACTAATGAAGAATAGTATCCTATTGTAATTGGGTCTAAAGCCTTCCTGCTTGTTAGGATTTGACTATCCAAAGGTCTCAAATCCTCTTAGGACTTCACTCTCCAAAGATAGGTGGACAGTGCCTGAAAAATATGCTTATACCACCCAGATTTGCTAGTTGAACATACTAAAAAGAAAATTATATCTGTAAGTCGAGAAATCTCACTGGTTCTTTACCAGCATGTTTACACAATTTGTTTTTAATACTGATGGTACACAGTGAGTAAAATTTCATATGCATTTTCCAAAGATGGCTGTAACTAGACCACTTTTTCTTTTTTTTTTTCTTTAAGGGGAAATGAATATTACACAAAAAATCTACCTTATAAGACAGGCGCCCCATGTGAAGAATGTCCAAATAACTGTGAAGATAAACTTTGTAGTAAGTTTTACAATTTCAGTTTGCTGAAAGTTGACCCATTGATTTGGAAACTGTGTGTCCCTTTTTATTACTATGTTTTATTGAGAATAATTGACTAAACATATTTGTGGGGTATAGAGTTGAATATTAGTACCTGTGTACAATGTGTGCTGATCAAGTCAGGATAATTAGCATGTTCATCATTACAAAACCCGAAAGATTAAGATCCTTAAGTAGAGTCCACCTAGAAAGAATATTAATATATGTGTACTGTTTTGTTTTGTTTTGTTTTGTTTTCCTGCTTTCTAAACAGATCCTGCGCTCCCTTATTGCAGCCTATAAATTAGGCATACTGTTTTCCGTTTACCTGTGTCCTCAGTTTGCTTCCTATTTCATGACTTCTCTATTTGTCTGGCCACTTATCATGGCATGTGATTTTGTACTGAGTGATCCTTATTCTAAGTTTCTTTTGAAACATCTAAGAAATTAGCTGATGCTCACACTGTACCTTACAGCTTTTCCTTTTATTTCTTAAGTAAATTTTACCTAAAGCCAAGTGATAACCAAGTGAATGCCACTTACATGTTAATTCCCTTAGGTAGCAAAATTATTTTCTTTTTTTAGAGCATTCCTGCAAACGTAATTCTTTAACTCTTAGGAAAAATGATAATTAAGATAAATTTCAGTAAGTCTGTGGAGAAATAACAAACCCAGAAAAAAATCTCCTGCAACCTCAAACTTGGAAGGACAGAAGGCTTATTTTCCTTCACCTTACCAGGTCACTCTCTTTGCTTTTAAATTAGGGAAAATGGATTCTTCTTACTCTTCTTTTCCTCTCTCTCTATTTCTTCTCTTTTATTCTTCTTTTGCTCTCTCTCATTTTTGTTTTCTGCTTGCTCTCTCATCTGCTCTCTCTAAACTTCACTTTTTATATCCCATTACTGAAAAGAAATGTAAATTGGAGAAAGATCTACCCTTCCTTGATCTGGCCATCACCTCTTGGGCACAAATGGTGACTGTCAGCTTTGTACTCCATGAATATTTATAACCAATAAAAAAAATCAATTAAATGTCTATGCCTTGAGATGAAGGAGAGGTGAGGAGTGAGTAGGTTTTTTGTATCCAAGAGAGAAAAGCAACATCTATAGTGATATGAAAAATGTAATGGAAATAAAAGGAAAAAGAGAAAAAATGTTACTCAAGAAGATTGAATCTATAACATAGAAAATATATATCATAAGCCCTTTATTCACCTACAAATGCATGAANGAAGATTGAATCTATAACATAGAAAATATATATCATAAGCCCTTTATTCACCTACAAATGCATGAAAAGATGAGAGACATTGAAGAAATATATGAATCTAAGAATGGGACATATTGGAAAAAAAAACAATGCTGAGTATGTAAGAGTAAGATATGTATATGTCATCTGTTTAATGTATTTCAGATAAAATTTATGAAAACAACAACAATTCCTATTTATAAAATTGGCAAAATTGTATAAGTCATAAATAAAAGATAAAAGAAAATGATGGATTAAAACACCTTACAGAAATCAAGGAAATAAACACATTACCTATTAAAAAAAACCCACCGATATTATATTTCCCCAGAATTCTGTATAACAGAATACATTAGGATAATGATGAATAGCTGATTTAAAAAATAAGTAGTGATAACATCAGCAAATTATTGATCATGGGAAAAAGACATAGAGATACATTATCAAATATACAATGGCTCAGGCAATAATATACCCACACTCCGTCTCCCTGCTGCTCCTTGATAAACCTGCTGCAGTCATTCTCCAAATCACTGAAAGATTAATCAATTTAATAATTTAGGAAGGGAAAAACATATGATATAGAAGGGTACTGATGAAAATAATAGAGTAACACATAACTGTTAGTATAAATTTTATAAAATTGTTATAAACATAATACAATGACCAGACTTTATAATTGAAAGAGAAGACATAATGGAAAAATTTTAATTGACCACCAAATTTTCAAAATTCAAGAGTGAATACTGAATTTAAAAAGTCTTGAAGGAGGGAGGGAAGTAAATGATAGTTATACTGCCTTTATATATTTTTTAAAAATCCATTTGTTAGTTTTAATAGAGAAATTCTTAGGTTAAAGAATGCTTTATTAAGTTCTTAATAACCATTACCACAATTTTAAAATGTTGGATATCTTTATACTGATTGGAGAATATTGCATGCATTTCCACACATGTATATACCTGGGAAACATGTGTTTGCATATTCATGGAATAGAGCAAGGAGAGAAAAGTCACTGTAATGTTAATTGAGAGATTTTATGTCTATTTTATATGTGCTTTTTATTCAATTTTTGCTTTGGCTATATATTTTAATATTTTCAAGCAAAGCTTCAATCATTAAATAATACAGTATTAGATAATTAGGCTAAAAAGATTAGATGAAACTTTTATTGTTTTATTTCATATTGTTAATGGTACTGATGCTTTGAAAATGACGATGTAGTAGAAAAGATGATTCATTTCCAATCTGCTTTTATGTAGCCCCACCAAAAAAAAAAAAGGTAAAAACCTGTTTGATATCAAGACAAGAATTTTATTTTTTCCTTTTGCAATTGAGCTCATTTAACTCATCACCTGTTTTGCATTCAGATTTAGTTAGCTCATGTAATCAAATTTAATTAGCTATCGTTAATAAAATTTCTCATTGTCTTTAAGATAGTCTCTTTCCTCATGACTGTGATTTTTTAAAACAATGTTGTATAACCATATCATTTTCTTTCAGCTAACCCCTGTGTCTACTATGATGAACTCATCAATTGTACACAGCAGGCCGGATATCTTGGATGCAAACACCCATCAGTTAAACTGCTCTGCAAAGCTACTTGTCTGTGTGACACTGAAATAAAATAACACTTTGTTATCACAACTATATTGTGCTGTGAAGATGAGGAGATGATAGTAGCTGCTGCTGAATTTCCTTTGGTTTTAGTTGTACTTGAGATCTTAATTTTTAGCAACCATGAATAGACATCAGTATGTTTTCATCAATGACACTCTCTCCTGTTCTGCTTCATCCTGAAGTAACATTGTTTTAAACTGTCTTAGTGCTGGAGTGAAAGATAGAGTTCAGCACCTGCCTGCAATTTAAATAATGTGATTTATAGTCCTTAGGTTGGCATAATTCAACTGATGGCATACCAGGATCCCTCAACAGTAACTTGTGCTAAAGTAGAGTCTTACCTGGCTGAACTGCCACCCCTGCTTTCCCCATGTCTTCAGCTAACCTGATGTTTGTCTTCCCTGTACAACTTTATCCACTTCTTTTTAATTCTTCACTTTTTATTTTTACTTTTTGACATCAATCATTAAAACAATCCACAAAGCAATGGAGTCCAGTTTCAATTTGCAAAGTGATTATTACTTAATTGGAAGTGGTTTAAATTGTTTCTTTGTCATATCTATATAAACAATGGTAAAGCAAAGAAAAAAAAACTGTGTGCCATTAATTTCACAAAATATGTATTCGGCACTGATTACACACAAGATGTAATACATATGTAAAGGATATTGTCTCCTTCATTTCAAAGAAATTATAAAAGATATACAATAGTCATAGCAAAACGGGACAAATAAGTAAGTCCCTAAAGACATACCACTATTATATTATTAATGCCAGATGAGCATAAATAGCTTCTGTTTGGAGATTCAGGGAAGCCTCAAAGGTAGAATGAGTAAACAGGGCTGCAAAGGTTGTGATTATTTCAAGACAATGGAACAGCACAGGTAAAGGCCTATCAACTTAAAATGCATTATAGGCTCAGGTAAAGGCCTATCAACTTAAAATGCATTATAGGCTCAGGGAATATTGAAGGGTCTGATGTGGTGAAAGTGAATGCTAAAAAC